GTCGAGGAGTGTGATGCTTTTGTCTTGTCAAGGACGTTGCAAAAGGTCGACGACGCAACTAACCCGTGCTTGGAATGCCATGCTATGGCCACCCCGGTGTCACAGCGAGGACGCGAGATCCCGCATTCATGCGCGTCCGTTGCACGCGACATGAACGACTTGGCGGCGCGCAGAGAGGTACCTAGGTATGCCTATTCGAGCGCATTGAGACCAGTAAGATGGAATGCACTCTGGTTCGTCCTGTATTCTCCAGCATATACTCATGTAGGAAATCACTACATACTAATCACCTCTTAGGCGTCCATCTACATTGCCTTAAAATCTTACTAACATGAGTTCTTACACCAATGCAGGCGGCATCGCACCCGTTCATCGTAGTATCAGCACGCAATCGCATTCTAGTTGTACGCATCGCGAGTCTTGCTTACTTACAGGTCGATGCCTAGCTCGGCCGACACCTTGGTCATCATGTACAACTATGTACGACAATTATACGCGCTGAACGATCAGAGAGAAAAATAGGAACATCACTATTTGAACAACTTATCCGGAGTGTTATTTGATCCATCCGTTGGTTCACGACCTCGGAAATGTAGTACCCCGCAACAACCCCGCACAGTATCGACTGGACCGTCAATCACAGGTCAACATTGCGGCTGTGACCCTTCGCCCCGGTGTATGCTGTCCTACTAAATCGTCCTCCACGGAGCAGCTTTGGGTCACGCACAGCTGTCAGCATTGGCGACTAATACGCCCGGCGCAGGACGCCCGACGCCCGATGCGATGTGACTTGTACCCGGTGTCGATCTATAAAGCTGTGAACCTTTCCGTTGCGCTTCGCTCTTCCATGAGTCTCTAACATATTCACGACCACCTTCCCAGTCTTCAGTCGTACCATAGCTCCGAAGATGGCGCCAGATCTGAACACGATAGGCAGCGGCAAGCAATGGGACTACTCAACGCCTGGTTCGGGCGGCTACAGCGTCCCAGACATCGTCTATAATGTGTGTTCCGATACGTCTAGCTTCTAGCAAAGAACTGATCATCTTCCAGGACCCTTCCTCTCGAAAGCTCAAGGTGCTGACTATTGGAGCCGGCCTGTCTGGCATTCAAATGGCGTACCAGATACAGAAACACACGCAGAATGTCGAGCATGTCATCTACGAGAAGAATGCGAATCTAGGAGGAACATGGCTCGAAAACAGGTATCCAGGTACAGACACTAGTGAATCTTCGCGTGAGTGAGCTGACACTTGCAGGTTGCGCCTGCGACATCCCGTCGCATGCCTACACTCTCAACTTCGCTCTCAACCCAGACTGGCCGCGCTTCTTCTCCTACGCACCAGATATCCAGAAATATCTCGAGAAGGTCTGCGATGTATTTGACCTGCGCAAGTACATGACATTCAACACCGAAGCCGTGCGAGCCGAGTGGCAAGACGACGTCGGCAAGTGGAAGGTTACGCTCCGCCAGACGTCATCTTCCGGTGAAGAACGAGAGTTCGAGGAGGAATGCGATCTTCTCCTCTACGCTTCCGGCATCTTGAACAACTACAAATGGCCTGGTATCAAAGGCATCAACAGCTTCAAGGGTCGCATCGTCCACACCGCGACATGGCCGAAGGACTATCAAAGTGAGCAGTGGAAGGATGATCGCGTAGCCATTATCGGTTCTGGTGCTTCTTCCATCCAAACAGTACCGAACATGCAACCACATGTAAAGCACATGGATATCTTCGTCCGAACTGGAGTCTGGTTCGTTCAGATTGCGAACAACTATGGCCAGAACAAGGAGTACTCGCAAGAAGAGCGCGATGAGTTCCGGAAAGATCCGCGTAAGCTCGTTGCGCATGCCAAAGATATCGAGAACCAGGTCAACGGGTTGTGGGGCGCGTTCTACGCTGGAAGTGAAGCGCAGAAAGGCGCGCAAGAGCTGTTCAGGGAGAGGATGAAAGAGTTTCTCAAGGATGAACAACTCTTGGAGGGATTCACTCCGAAGTTTGAGGTTGGCTGTAAGTTTCATGCCACCCTTCACAGGAACGCTCACTGATCTCCTGTAGGCCGTCGCATAACCCCAGGCGACCCCTACATGAAAGCCATCCAAGAGCCAAACGTCGACGTGCACTTCACCGCCGTAAACGAAATCACCGAAACCGGCGTCATCGGCGCCGACGGCATCGAGCGCCCCGTCGACACCATCGTCTGCGCCACCGGCTTCGACGTGACCTACCGCCCACGCTTCCCCATCATCGGCAAAAACGGTGTCGACCTCTACGAAAAATGGAAGTCCGAACCCGAAGGCTACCTCGGCCTCGCCTGCCCCGACATGCCCAACTGGCTCATGTTCATCGGCCCAACCTGGCCCGTCGAAAACGGGTCCGTCACCGGCCCCCTCCTCGCCGTCGCAGAATACACCATCCAGATAATCAAAAAGATGCAACGCGACCACATCAAATCCTGGGTCCCGCGCCAATCCATCACCGACGCCTTCAATGAGCACGCCCAAGAATGGATCAAACACACCGTCTGGAAAGGCAGCTGCAGATCCTGGTACAAGAACAACGAGACCGGGCGCGTCAACGCCGTGTGGCCCGGTTCCTCAAACCAATATGCCGAAGTCATTGAGACGCCGCGGTATGAAGACTTTGAGATTGAGTATATGCATAAGAATCCTTGGGCGCATCTGGGTATGGGATATGCGATGCGGAATAAGTTGTTTCCCGAGGCGGATGTTAGTCCGTATTTGCAGGTGGAGAATATTGATCCGAAGTGGTTGAAGGCTATTGGGTATGAGGGGCCCGCGGGGGTGGTGGAGGAGGTGAGGGAGAGGAAGGAGGGGGCTGAGGTGGAGAGGACGGGCGTGGATGGGGGGGTTGGGGGTACGGATGGGAATACGCTGACGTAGTGGCATTGACACGAGTTTGGCGTATCCATTTCGACGAAATGTAGACCTAAGCTAAGCTGAAGCCTGCATTTTGGTGACTCTAAGCACGTATTGCTTCGTATTGGGCGAAAGAGGTGATGAAGCTGTAGGCCGAATGGACAAGCGGATAGACCATTCGAAATCTTTGGCGGTCATTGGATTCTGAGCTCGAAGAGTTGTACGATCAAGAGTGCGATCCTCTTTCTGCGATGTCGTCCGCCGCCAAACACCTTCTTGTTCTCTGCCGCTCCGCAGAACTATAGCGATAAACCAGGGGTTGTGGCTCACGTGTACATGAACGTTAACTGTTAGATCCACACCGGCGCGATGGACGAACCGAAAATCGAATCTGTCGTTTTCGTCTCCGGCGTAATAAGTAGACCACATACCGGGCAGAGCAGCTATCATGTCTGTGGCGTGCACCTCCATAGGGAAGGGTCGCGCACTTTCCTTGTTCGAAAAGACTCGTGCAATCTCGGAGCCAAACGCGGGGTCTATTGCAATTCGCACCATCGAACGAACTTCGCGTTGGTACCTGATGGAAGAACGATACCCGAATTCAGGCTCATGCTCTTCTCTCGACGTGGTTACATAGATGGAAGCGTATCGAAACTCTTTCAAAGCATCCATGTGAAGAAGGATCAGAGTTCCCTGTTCCCCCGCGGTATCCCAATCTCTTTCAAATCGATTTTCGCTGCCTTCAACTTGATACAGCATAACGCATAAGAGAAGGATATCGGATTCTGAACGTTCTAAGCACGCAAGGCAGCCATAACAGGATTTTTCCTGGTGTCGAAGTAGAGGTAGACTGAGGTGACAACCGCGACTGGTCAGCTGCGGAGGCGAGTGATCGTCTGGGGGCGGAAGTACAGAGAAGCATGTCTGCGATAAGTCCTCGCGACGAAAGAACTCAGTTCCGCCTGCCAGATCCGCAGAGAGCAACTCGAGTACAGGCGTAAAGGTTCGGAACTCAGAAGGCGAACTGGCTAAAAGACTTTCGGTCGGGGAGAATGCGTCCCATGCAAAAATAGTGTAATCTTCGTCAACGCGAAGCATCTCTTCCTGAAGGCGATGAAATGCGCGTTTGCCTTCGCCGTAAAGAAGAGGCATGTTCACTCCAAGTATTCCGAAGAGACAGTATGCCTGATCCTCCAAACGACTAGTCTCACGATGTGCCGCCCACGACAATCTTACGACCACGGCATAGCAGAAAGGATTTCCACCAGTGAGGACGTCTCGGTTGATACCAGTTATGTCCGTTAACCGGCGGTGGAGGCTGCCGCGAGTCCCGATCTCTAACCAGGATGCGTTATAAAATTCGACGACCGGAGGCGCAATTAGCTCCTGTAATGTCCACCCTCGTGTGAACCACTTCGAACCACCGAATGCTTTGTAATCGTCTGTTTCGGGGTCCTGAAAAACGTCTTCTAGATAGGCGTAGCAGATGCGCGCGTCCCTGTACCATCGGTACATGGAGTTAATTGCCTCAGATAACTCGGCGCTTGAAGTTTTGTCGATGCAACAAGTGTCAATCCAACAGTAGGCGAATCCATCATACCTCGCCTTCTTGCAACAACCCGTAAGCTTCGCATAGCCTTTCTTGGCCGGTGCTTTGCCAGATATAAGATCCTGAAGAGTAACTTCCTCGTCCCTCCAAGTATGGGAAAGGATAACATACTCGGGCACTCGGCTCTCGAGGAACTCCTGTACCTCCAACGTGGACGTGTTAAGTAGCCGCATGTTTGCGGTGTGTCGTTGTTAATTGCAATGTCGGCCACCAGCCTGAATAACGTCTCAGCCGATGTACATTCGACAGCGAACGATGAATGCCATAACCGGGTATCGACGCCGGTCGCATGCGACAGGGTGTTGTTCTGGGACGAAGCTGAGATTAGTGAGGTATGTATTGGTGCGCCCGTGATGAGGGGCAAGGCATTGGACGAACACCACGTCGCGAGAAGACTTGGAAGGTGCAGGTGGCACAGCAAACGCACGCTAATCCAACCTCGGTTAGCGCTATCTCACCGGTCGCCTCAGGCACCTACCCGTCCACACGCGCCTTATCGCCCACATCACAATGCACAATCCAGGAAACTTCAACAATAACCAGGTGGATACTATGACCGAGAAGCGGGTTGCGTCAGCGAGTGTGAGCGCTCATGTGAAGCCCCGCATCATCATCCATGGTGGTGCGGGCAATCTAACGCGCACCTCGATACCCCGTGATCGTTACGATGAATACCGCGCCTCGCTTCTAAACATCTTGGAGAAAGCGGAGGGCCTTCTCCGCAAACCAGGATCGACAGCGCTGGATGTCGCAACCTACGCCGTCACGCTTTTGGAAGATGACCCGCTTTACAATTCCGGCAAAGGCGCGGTCTTCACGCGCGAAGGCAAGAACGAACTCGAATGCAGCATCATGGTTTCGAACGGCTACAAGAAACGAGGCGTCGGATGTATGCTGCTCAGCCACGTCAAGAACCCCATCAAGCTGGCGAGAGAGTTGCTCATCAAAGGTGAAGAAGCAGACGGCGGTGGTGCAGCCGACCACTGCCAGTATAGCGGAGAGTTCGTAGAGGGACTCGCCAAGAACTGGGGGCTTGACATCGTTGACCCAAGCTACTTCTTCACCCAGAAGAGATGGGATGAGCATCAACGCGGACTCGCGGAAGAGGCGAAGAAGGCGCATATGGGCGTCAGCGTCGAAGCCATGAGCGACTGGGAGAGGGATAATTACATTCCGCTTGGAACGTGTGGCGCGGTCGTTGTTGACAGCTTCGGTACCGTCTGCACGGCAACATCGACGGGTGGGCTGACGAACAAAGTTCCTGGGCGCATTGGAGATACGCCGACCATCGGTGCAGGGTTCTGGGCTGAGGAGTGGCACGACGAGAAGGCTGCTGGACCGCAGATGTTGTACCAGCCTGCTGCCCGCGTCGCGTCGCCGATCGACAAACTATCACGAGGCGATATACGGGGGATAGTGGGCGACTGTCTACCTTTGCTTGGATCACCCTCGATACGGGCAACTACATCATCGCCAGCACAGCCATACGAGAAGCCCGTGTCGACGCGCCACGCCGTGGGTCTATCAGGGACAGGCAACGGCGACTCGTTCCTTCGCACGTGCGCGGCTCGCACTACAGCTGCCAGATCAAGGTTCTCGGGCTCATCGCTTTCCAGCGCAACAACGTGGATGGCAGGGCCTGACGGTGAGCTTCAGCGATCAGCTGGAGACCGTTGGGGCGCAACCCATGAAGGCACCGGCGGTATCATCGGCATAGAAGTTATCGGCAGCAAGGCCACAGTTGTGCAAGGTTTCAATTGCGGAGGCATGTTCAGAGCATGGACGGATGACGATGGCAGTGCAAAATGTCTGGTGTTCAGGGAAGATGGCTGGGAAAGTGGGCCAAAGAATTGGGATGATCGTCGAACGCATTGAACTCCGCATTTTTGCGGCCCGTGCAGGCGACAAGCCCGAAGTCTTACCCTCTGTTCTCTCACAATCGCTGCGTTACAGATGTTGAGCGCTGCGCGATGCCAGAGCACGCAAAGGACGCGCTCTACATTGCGTGGACTGAACCGAAGTCGTGAAGTCGAGACCTTCAGTAAAGAGCGATTGGCGAGGCAACGTTCGGTCAGGGCGACGCGGCTCACATCGGCGCCACTCCGAGAGGCCGAGATGCAACAACCCGACGGCGCTATACAGTACTAAGAAGACCAAAAATATCCATTTCAAGCTTTGGAGCACGGACGCGTGTCGTTTGCGGAGGTGGCTTCAGCGCTATAGACACCGTCATACGCGAAAGTCCCGTGTAACCGGCACTTTGTGGCGAATCTGGAGGCTGGTTACGAGCGCTATGTGTTAGCTGGACTGTTAGCCTTTAGGGTACGACAGCTTAAACCACGCAACAACACGAGGCTTATGGGTATATAGCCTGCTCACCCTCGTTCGGATCAATCTCATCCCATCACCACATCACCACTGCATTACTACAACAATACAACACTCGCTTTGTTATTACAGCATCTCAACACACCCTTCAATCCGAAACACCCTCACACAACAACAACAAACATGCGTTACACCATTTTCACCATGGCCGCGGCCGCAACATTCGCTTCAGCGCAAACCACGTCTTCCTCATCATCAATGGTCACCAGCGGAGCCAGCACACCAACCAACCAAGGCCCCATGCCCGCCCCCTCACCAACCGTCGTCGCGCCCGCCGGCTCCCTCCCCCTCGGCGCCGAATGCAACCCCTTCGTCACCCCCAGCCAGTGCGCAAACGGCGTCCAATGCTGGGCCAGCAACGCCATGCTGATCGCCCAATGCGGAAACTTCAACGCCGAATGCGACAGCGACGCGCAGTGCGCCTACAACATCTGCAGCGGCGGCCTTTGCAGAGGATTCAAGCCATCCAGCGAGTTCCCCGTTAAGCCGTCGACTGCGATGAGCCCCATTCCTGCTGCCAGTACGGTTTATGCTAGTTCCATGGCTCCTGTGCCTTCTGGTTCTATGGCGCCTATGCCTTCTGGTGCTGTGCCTCCTATGCCTCCTAGCTCGATGGTAGCTATGCCCTCAGGAACGATGGAACATATGCCATCTGGTATTGTGCCCCCGCACATGATCAACGGTACTATGACCATGGTGCCCACTGGAACTGGTGCTATGCCCACTGGACCCGCAAACGCGACTTCAACTGGCGCTCCTCAGTTTACTGGTGCTGCTGCCGTTGACAACGTTGCTGGCGGTGTTATGGCTGTTGTCTTTGGTGCCGTTGCTTGGGCTTTGTAGATCTTCGGGATGCGCGCGCTGTTGGATCTTTGTTGTATTATAGACCAATCCGCTGTATATATTTATGATGACGTTGAAACGCTACACATACATAATGCTAAATGAAGAATATATCTCCAAGTTCTCTCGCATATCTTATAACAACCACTGTTTGGTTCCCATTGCTCCGCACTCGGTCTTATCTTGGTAGGCTTGGCATCCTTCTCGAAATAGCCTTCGGGACGTCACACCGCACAACTTTACTACACGGCACTCTTTTATCAGACCTAGAGTCTACAAGATCTAGCTAACAGTTGATCGGGATGCGCCGTCCACCGGCCTGCATGTTAGGCTAATATCCGCATAATCGGGTTGATGATGCGCCGAAAGATTTTGTGAGTCACGAAGTAGGAAGCATATATTGGACTATTTGTTGTATCTATTAGTCGCACCACCACACCAATACATTCTTGCCCTACTCGTTGACCGCGCTTACAACTCAATTCCACGTAAAACTACCCTTTGATCACAATGACAGACGTCGAAAACGCTCTCCCCGTAGCCGAACGAGCAGACCTGCGCCGCTCAATCGCATCCACAAATGACGCCTTCATCAAGGCGATTCCAAAAGTCGAACTGCACATCCACATCGAAGGCATCATAAGTGCAGATCTGAAATGGAAGTTCTCACAACGGAATGGTCAGACTATCATCAATCCCCGAACTGGTCAACCATTCACTTCACTTGATGAATTGCGAGACTCGCACGATACGTTGAAACCACGTAAAGGAAATCGAATGGATAACACAGAAGAGACGCTCTCGTTCTTCGAGGCGTATTACGGCGGTTTCGAAGTACTGAAGACGCAGCAGGATTACTACGATCTCGCTATGGCGTACTATGGGCGTGCTGATGAAATGAATGTGCGGTATGCGGAGATTTTCTTCGATCCGCAGGGGCATACGCGTGTAGGCACGAGTTGGGAGACGATGATGCAAGGGTTTCGGGAGGCGACGTGGGATGCTGAGCAGATTCTTAATGTAAGTCCGCCCCGAGAGCCCCCCTCCAATTTTCAAGAGATATGCTTTGCTGATTGCTGATTGCGAAATACAGGTCAAGTCCAAATGGATCATGTGTTTCCTACGTGACGAATCACCAGAGTCTGCAATGCAGCATTACGAAGCGGCGCTTCCGTACCGCGACATAATCGTTGGTATTGGGCTTGATTCGAATGAGGTGGGCAGGCCGGCTGAGCTGTTTGATGAGGTCTTTGTGAGAGCAAGAAAGGATGGGTTTCGGATTACTGCGCATTGTGATGTTGGGAAGCCGTATCCTCTCGAACATATCCGCCAGGTAGCATGCAGTATTGCAGGCACAGGGGCGGATCGTATCGACCATGGGCTGAATGCTGCTGGTGATGCCGAGCTTATGGCGCTGATCAACGAGAAGGGGCTTGGTATGACGATCTGTCCTTGGAGTTATATTCGGCATCAACCGATGGACGACGTTTTTGGACGTATTCGCGCTCTGTTCGACGCCGGTATCACGATAAGTATCGCGAGCGACGATCCAGCGTTTATGGAGGATACGTGGGTGCGGGAGAATCTGCTCGTGGTGAAGAGGTACTGCGACTTTACCAATTTGGAGATTCGGAAGTTGGCGGAGAACGCTATTAAGATGAGTTGGGTGAAGGAAGAAGTGAAAAGCCGTTTATTGGAGTTGTTGTACGGCATCGATCCAGATACATAGATGGTATAGAGTCGACCCATCGCTTCCTTCCTTCGACGGGTGGCCGTGATGGTGCGGGGTCAACGACGTTTGGGTGCGACGGACAGGCTGGATGAGGGCAAGAAATGCGACAGCAGAGATAATGTGGCGCAGTACGTCGTACGTGCCACACTGTATACGTGGACGCGGATGATTCATTTGCTGGGCACTGGGTCAGTTGGTGAGTGACGGTTGCTAAGTGAAGAGGCGACCAGTTCCTCTACATTTCGGCTTGGCGTGAGTGGAACGCCTCATGGTAGATCAATGGCTCATGCGACAGCGGCAGCGACGATGGAAAATCTGTGAAGTGAGTGAATGCGTCCCCGTGACATGTGGCGATGTTGTGAATGTCGTGTCGTATCGTGTTCTTGATCAAGGTGTCGCCAAGGGCGGACGCGTCGGGTGCCAGACACAGCCACAGGCAATGACATAATCCCCGCCTCGGCCGCCCGCCATGCTTCCTGCCCATCGCCATCGGCAGCGCAGGCATAAGCAACGCAGCCGCGCTCTTTCTCCATAACGCCCTCTACCTCATACTCTCCCCCCACACGCGCGCCAAGATGGGTTTCAGTCTCAACAACCCGCTGCCCTCGTCCATGAGCAGTAAGTCACGTCACATGCCGCCCGCTTTGTTCATGCGCGCCTCGTGGTCCGGTGACGTCGCTAACAGCTGTGCTCTCAGGCGAATGTCGCAAGACGGGAAAGATTCTAGCATCCTTTGTCGACCCCAGACAGGCCTTTGGGCCGGATAAGATTATCCCGCCCAATGTCCTCGCCAATGCAAAGGTAAGGACTCGATGCGCATCCGGTGTCACGAAGCTGCCCAAGCAAACACCACAGCAGACAACAACACATGATGAGATGCTGACACATGCCAGGGCCTCGCAATCCTCACAGTCTTCAAGGCCGGCTTCCTCGGCACAGCGCGATTCGGATCGGGCGTCGTCGTCGCCCGTCTCGCAGACGGATCGTGGTCGGCTCCCACGGCTATCGGAACCATCGGCGGCGGCTTCGGCGGACAGATTGGCTTTGAGCTCACCGACTTCGTCTTCATCCTCAACGACGCATCCGCCGTCCGTACATTTGCGCAGGCAGGCTCGCTGACATTGGGCGGCAATGTCTCCATCGCGGCGGGGCCCGTCGGTCGCAATGCCGAGGCTGCCGGCGCGGCGAGTCTGAAGGGCGTGGCTGGTATTTTCAGCTACAGCAAGACAAAGGGACTGTTCGCCGGTGTCAGTTTGGAGGGCAGCGGCATCATCGAGCGGAGAGATGCCAACGAGAAGCTGTACGGCCGCCGATGGACTGCCCGCGAGATCCTTAGCGGACAGGTTCCCCCACCACCAGCTGCCGCGCCGCTCCTGCAGGTGCTCAACTCAAGAGTCTTTGCCGGCGTAGGAGGCGCGCAGAACGTTACCAACGACGCCATGTACAACGACATCCCCGTCTACGATAACTCGCGCGACAACGTAGTATGGCAGGGACGCGAGGGCTCGGCCATGGGCGAAGGCGTGCGCCGCGACCGCACCGGCTCCATGGGCCAAGCACCCAATGAATACGAGTACCGAGACCGACCGCAGCACTCATCTACGTGGGCGGACGACGTATACGACCGACAGCCATCCTCGGCACCCGGCGGCCTCAACCGCTCCTTCTCCACACGTGCGAACCCCACCGAGACATTCGACCGCATGGACAACCGGAGCCGCTCCTCCACTTTCGGCGACGACTACTCGTACAGCGACCGCAAGCCTGGCCGACCGACGGCGCCAAAGCCAGTATTTGGACAGACCACGGGACAGAAGAAGGCAGGACTGCAATCCGACCAGGCAATTGCCAAGTTCACCTTTGACGCGGACCAGCCGGGCGATCTCGGCTTTAAGAAGGGCGAGATCATCACAATCCTGAAGAGAACGGATAACGAGACAGACTGGTGGACAGGTAGAGTCGGAAGCCGAGAGGGCATCTTCCCAAGGTAAGTCGCACAGGCCATGCCATCATGAACACTTCACTGACTGCCACAGCAACTACGTCGAGACCGTGTAAAGCCGTTCCTGAGATACCACAACCCCGACCACGTAGACTGTCACACCTCTTTTCATTTCTAGTCTAGCGACACTCTTCAACTTCCTTTCGAGCGGTCGGCATTTAGCACCTTGCTTGCTTTCGCATGGCCTGGCGTTTCCTCTTTGAGTTCGTTGTCAGTTCTCCTTGTTGCCTTTACCCCAGATACCTACGTAGCGAAAGAAGTCGTTGAATCACGAGATACGTAAGGTTCAATGTCATCTGTGGAGTATGGACGAGAACTATTTGGAGTTACCCCGATTGCCGAGGTGGAGGTGGAGCTGGTCGGCTGAACATCGTATCTATGACCCAGCGATCGCTCCAACCCCCGCCTCAGGCTGCCCCTCACGTTCACCCTGTGCGATATCCGCATCGGCAGGACAATACCCTGCATTGACCTACCGAGACATGTCATGAAATGTGAAGCCACGCTAATGTGGAAGGTGCTTAGAACAAATGCTCGATAGCTACCCCACTTGGCCGTTGCGTAGCTTCGAAGCTATCAACGGCCGTCCACCCCCAACGTCATTCCCGCGGCTGCATACCTATCTTAACTCCGGAACCGCTCTCGTGCCCAATTTGCTGCGATACTTCCCCTCCAACACCAAATACTTGCGGGTGACTGCCTTTGCCTCCTCTGCCATCAGCTCAAACCGACATCATGACGACATCATCGTGGGAAGAGACCGCTAGGAAGAAGCGCGAAGCCATCTGGGCTGTCATACCCTCGGAATGGACCCTAGAGAAGTTGCCATCGGTAGAAGAACAGGTCGATGTCACAGACTATGTGAAGCAGTACTTCAGCAAGCAAGAGCTCGACATCACTGAAAGCAGCGCCGATGTGATCGCAAAGACCGTGGCTGAGGGAAAGTGGACTGCTGAAGAGGTCACGAGGGCATTCTGCCACAGAGCTGCAGTTGCGCATCAATTGGTACGTCGCACATCCGATACGTGCAGTGAATGATGCTAAATGGACAGCTGTCATGTCTTCACGAGATCTTCTTCGATGCCGCCATCCGGGACGCAAAAGAGCTCGACGCGTACTACGCAGAACACAAAAAGACCATCGGTCCCCTCCATGGTGTCCCCATCTCACTAAAAGACCAGTTCCACGTCAAGGATGTCGAGACCAGTATGGGCTACGTCGGCTGGATTGGCACCTTCGAAGGCAAGAAGGGTACTGGCAAAGAGAAGGTGTTCGAGAGTGAGATGGTGAAAATGCTGCGTAAGGCTGGAGCTGTGTTGTACTGCAAGACCAGTGTGCCGCATACGCTGATGAGCGGGGAGACGATTAACAACATCATTGGATTTACGCTTAACCCGAAGAACAGGAATCTGACGGCTGGTGGTAGCTCCGGTGGCGAGGGCGCGTTGATTGGTATGAGAGGATGTAAGTGGACCACTGTCTGAGACATGGCCACCGTCATGGGCGTCTACTTCCATGATGAAAAGAGTGCCTATAACTAACGTTGAACAGCGCCATTAGGATTCGGTACTGACATCGGCGGCTCCATCCGCATCCCCGCCGCCTTCAACGGCCTCTACGGCATCCGCCCCTCCACAGGCCGCCTCCCATGCGAAGGCATGGCAAACTCCATGGACGGCCAAAACACCGTCCTCTCCGTCGTCGGCCCCCTCGCCACAAACGCAGCCTCCCTGCGCCTTGCCTGTCAAGCCCTGCTCGAACAAAACCCCTGGCTCCACGACCCGCTCGTCCACGAAATCCCGTGGCGCCCGGACCAAGAAGCCGAGATCAAGTCCGCAAAGAAACTCTCCTTCGGTCTGTTAATGACAGATGGTGTGGTGAACCCCACGCCCCCCGTCCGCCGCGCTATTGAAACTGTTGTTGAGGCGCTGCGTTCTGCAGGTCATGAAGTTATAGACTGGACACCGCCATCTCATCGTACTATCAACGACGTCGGCTTCCGCCCCTGGATCTACGACGCGGGTAAAGACGTGAAATCCGCGTTTGCGCTCTCCGGCGAACCCATGGCGCCGCAAGTTACCTTTTACCAAGGCGTCGAGAAAGAATTCAGCGCTACTGACATCGCGGCCACGAATGTGGAGTTGAGAAAGCTGAAGAAGGAGTACATGGAGTACTGGAATGGTACTGTTGAGAAAACTAGTACGGGGAGGCCTGTTGATGCGGTGATTTGTCCGCTTGCGCCGTTCCCGGCGGCGAGGAGGGAGAGGTTCAGGTATTACGGGTATTCGACTTGGGTTAATGCGCTGGATTATACGAGTGTTGTGCTGCCGGTTACGACTGTGGATAAGAAGGTTGATGTGAAGGAGGAGGCGTTTAAGGCGCTTGATGAGCAGGATAAGAGTATCCAGGATGACTGTAAGTGTGCGCGAAGATTTCTGAGTTTGTTGACGTGTTGTTGTTGCGCGTGGAGAGAAGGAACAGCGGACGGGAAAGAGAGTGGAGTGCTAACGTGAGTGCAGATGATCCCGAGATCTATGATGGTGCGCATGTCAGTGTGCAGCTTGTTGGACGGAGGTTGCAGGAGGAGAAGATGATTGCTGTTGCGGAACTTGTAGGTAGTGTGCTCGGGGAGTAGGGACCAAGGTATATGGTACGTTGCTTTGTCGCGCGTATCTGGTTTTTCTCGCGAGAGGTCATATTGGAACCCTTCCCATCTGACCGGGTTTGGTCGCATAGACATGATTTGCATGCAGCACACAACGAGCACGTTCTGTCTTGGAATGTTTTACGATCACACTTTCTATGAACACTAATAGGCGGCGAAGACCAGCTTCGACTATTCCACTGCACCTATCTGTTATCTGGACCTGCACTCTATCGGCTGAAACGGAAGACGGGAGTTGTGAGTGGCTGGTCGAAGGAGAGTTGTCGCAGTAGCTGATACTAATACAGCAAAGCCTTCTGCATCTGCACGAAAGAGATGGACCCCGCAGAC